CAATTTGTTATACAACATAACATTAAGATTCTTATTCTAATACTAGAAGATAAATAAACATAATTTCATAATTATTTGGAAAGTGAAATTGTTTATTATAAATTCATCCGTTATATATTTGTTTGAATTAGCATTACAATAATAAAAAAAAAACACCAACCAATCAAATAATTAAAAATAAATAAACAAGTCAAAAGCAAACAAAACGATAAAAAATAAAATCGAAAACTTAAACAGAATTTTTACAGTTTCCTTTGTATTCTAATTACTATTTTTTTTATCAATTTGTGTGTTAGTTTTCAATCTGATTTATTATGATCACCAATGTATTATATGATTATCATTTAGTTGAATTGAATAATTGATGAATAAATATTTCCATGTACCATACAGTGTAATTTTTATTTAGATGCATGTTGTGCCAACCAACTCATCAGGTTGTTTATAAAAAATTCTTATACTGACGTATATTTTTACGTACTAGTATTCATGCATATTCAAACCCTTGAATACACCTTTCAAGGATACTCAAAATCAAAAATGTGATATGTGTAGGAAAAAGTATATATACAAGTCTATATTGAAAACAACGTTCAAACCTATGATTGCGTTGGATAACAACCGCAATTTTTATACGTGTGCATGCAAAATAAATTTCTTGGTAGAGGGGTCTAAATACTGCACAAACAACATTTTCCAAAAGACCAAAAGAGTGAAAAAGTATATTTTAACGTAACGCATTTGACTAGCAGGTCGAACAACTGATGTTCTAAAATCCTGCTGACTGCCATTGAAGATTGCCAAATAAAAGGATCACCAGATGTATCAAAATGGATCTTATAATAATTTATTACCAAAAAGAAAACAATAAACTTGCGAAAAAGATGGTATATCGCAAACATGAGGTGCAAAAATTTGTACACCATATCCGGATTTCGACAATTAATGTCTCTTCAGTGATGTTAGGAATCGAAACTTATTTGGAAGGCCATATAATTTACCTCAATTTAGGATAGACTCTTGAATTTTGAAAGAGTCGAAATAAGATGAACGGATCATATATACCCGAAGCCAAATATAATACAAGCCCAAACGAAACAAATAAACAAGTCTATATTGAAAACAACGTTCAAACCTATAATTGCGTTGGATAAAAACCGCAATTTTTATACGTGCGCATGCAAAACAAATTTCTTGGTAGAGGGGTCTAAATACAGCACAAACAACATTTTCCAAAAGACCAAAAAAAGTGAAAAAGTATATTTTAACAAAACGCATTTGACTAGCAGGTTGAACAACTGATGTTCTTAAATCCTGCTGACTGCCTTTGAAGATTGCCAAATAAAGGATCATCAGATGTATCAAAATGGATCTTATAATAATTTATTACCAAACAGAAAACAATAAACTTGCGGAAAAGATGGTATATCGCAAACATGAGGTGCAAAAATTTGTATACCATATCCGCATTTCGACAATTAATGTCTCTTCAGTGATGTTAGGAATCGAAACGGTATTTGGAAGGCCATATAATTTACCTCAATTTAGGATAGACTCTTGAATTTTGAAAGAGTCGAAATAGGATGAACGGATCATATAAACCCGAAGGCAAATATAATACAAGCCCAAACGAAAAAATATAAACAAGTCTATATTGAAAACAACGTTCAAACCTATGATTGCGTTGGATAAAAACCGCATTTTTTATACGTGTGCAAGCAAAACACATTTCTTGGTAGAGGGATCTAAATACAGCACATACAACATTTTCCAAAAGACCAAAAAAGTGAAAAAGTATATTTTAACAAAACACAGTTGACTAGCAGGTTGAACAACTGATGTTCTTAAATCCTGCTGATTGCCATTGGCGATTGCCAAATAAAGGATCATCAGATGTATCAAAATGGATCTTATAATAATTTATTACCAAAAAGAAAACAATAAGCTTGCGGAAATGATGGTATATCGCAAACATGAGGTGCAAACATTTGTACACCATATCCGCATTTTGACAATTAATGTCTCTTCAGTGATGTTAGGAATCGAAACTTATTTGGAAGGCCATATAATTTACCTCAATTTAGGATAGACTCTTGAATTTAGAAAAAGTATATATGTATAAATTATTGTCATTTGTTATTACAAATTATTTAGCTTACTATAGTATCATAATCTGTGCTGCAAAAATAAGTCTTTTTAACAGAATGGATAGCTGTCTCAATTATACTTTCATATTTGTCAAAAATGTTGACTTTCACTTGAAATTTTCTAATATTTTGAACAATATTTCGTTATCGTAGAATCAAAATAAATAACGTGTAATACGAACAAGTTGTGTCTAAATGAAAACAATACTTAATCAAAGCGCTTTTCTGGATTTATCTCCATCAGAAACTCTGAACCCCAAACTTTTGAACGCCAAGAATGTTTAAGACCTAAACACATGACCATAATCTAAGGTCAACTTTGCATGAGGTAGTTGGAACCTCAGTATAATCATTATAATTGATTAATTTATTAACGGAGAATTTAGATAATAAAATAAAATTGAGAATGTCAAAAATCATGTCAGTTCCGAAGTACTATAACTACCGAGTCTAACTGATGTGGGAGATCAATATGTACTTAATTAAATCTACACAGTTCCCACGAGACAAATAAATATCAGTTTTCATTGGTATACTTTGATCAGGATACAAATAATTGTTTTTACTCCATCTATATTCATGATGTAAAATGGCTTTATACCTATCTGCACTATAAAGAAACAGTCAAAGTACTCTCACCCAACATGAACAAAATGACAAAATGTCAAATGGAAAGTATGGTTAATGTTGTTTATATATTTTAGTAATCAGGAAAGGACGAACCTACTCCTACCAGGAAATGTGGATGCATTATTTTCAAGTGATGACATATTCCAGCAGCAACGCTTCAGTTAAAAAACGGAAATCTGAAAAATTGCACGAGACATGATGGCATTCGCAACACTAGAAGTAAAGAATAAACCCGTGTTTAGATTGCAATATACTTTTATAGCTTGGTTGGTTTGTGTTATATTGAGTGATTATCACTATATTAGTTCATTCATAAATGGTTGTGAATACAAAAAAAACTTGAGTTGACATTAAATTATTTATTGTAGTTTGTATGACGAAAAACGTAAAAATTCATTAATGAAGATGCATTGTTTTAATATCATGATGATTTGTTATTTATTTTACTGAAAAGTTTAGGAATCGAAGTAAATATAATAGTGAAATGAAATCAGCAAATCAAAATGACAAAATAAGGGATAAATTGTAACAAAATAGAGGTAGGGCAAATATTTGTTTCACATAAAGTGTCAAAATCAGAAAGTTGTTTAAAACTGACGGAATTCAATAATAAAGAGTGTATACAATAATATCATACTAAAAAAATCACCAACAATTTTACATATTTCCTTAGAATAAGAATGAAATTCAACGCTACATACAGCCGTTCAAGACAATATTGGAAATTTTACATGTTTTGTCAATTTTTTTTATAAAAGGACATCATTAAACTTAATGAACTGATTTTTGTCTGAAAGACAATATACAGAAATACATGTAATTGCAATAAAATTTTGGTATTGATTAAGAATGTCCTTCTTATATATATATATATTCTTTTGATTATTATTCAAAATTTGCCAAATCTATCAATATTGAAGTTTTGAACCACCTTTGAGTATCTATAGTTTTATCAAATGTTTTGAAATACACGAAATAGTTGTTAAATCCTTAGAATACAAATTTGAACATATGGTACTGTGGATTTTAGTAAAGATTGAATAAAAAAAAATTCTGCTGGGGAGAATAAATTCAGGGGAAATTCGCAACTACCCTATTTTTCTTTTTGTATTAGGAAGTTTTGATCATAAGTTTATTTCATTTTGTTATTATGGTGTGTTTTTATGTAATCATCTAGTACAATCCAAGATCCTCCTAGTACAAATCTGGGTATCCCGATTTCTAACAGTAGATACTGGAATTCCAATTTGTATTAGGAGGATTCTGGACCCTAATGAATTAAAATTTGTACTTTAACGTATAGTTTGTTAAACCTCACACTCGTTATAATAGCTTATACATTGAGCATCGAAGAAGACATCATTTTAACTTGACTTTGTTAATCGACTGTTCCAACATTCAATCGAATACGTTTCAACCGACAACTGAAAGTTTGGTACACAGAAGTTTCAAAAAACCATCGATGTTCTAATTGGTCTTACTAGCCGACTAAATCTTGTCCTCATATTGAGAAAAATTTGTACAAATACTCCATAAAGTCAAGAATGTCAAGTTCTTTCATTTTTATATATATTGATGATTCATTTCATTCAATAATCTTAATCTTATTCGTGGTTACTACTCATATTTTTGAGTGTCCAGAAACTTGTCTTTTGGTTATTTGTGTCGTTGGGTTGCTGTATCATTGACGTATATTACATTTATCTTTTAACTGTTCACAAGATGTTAAAATCATTTGAAAACACGGAGGTTTTTTTTTACCCACAGGCCATGATGGCTTAACAATATTTGGCATTACTTTTGGTAATTATTGGTTTTCAGGTGTCAAAACAACCATAAAAGTCCCTACATTTCTTACCAAATTGTTTTTAAATTTTTTATACAACTCTCTAAATATTTCACTTTAAGTTTAACTTGGAGAAAACCATGTTTATCCTTAATTCTACATGAATGTCAAAATGTCTAATTAAGGAAAAGTTTAATTCACGTAAATTCTTTTGCTAGTTAAAGTAAACAAGAACATCTAAAACACTATTGTTTGTCAGAGTAAGGCTTCTATTACATATGTTCTAAATTCGAGGGGTGAATTGTTGGCGTGACGCCTGAATTTCAGTGCTATTCAACTTATTAATTTAGACTTTCAAACTGTTTTGGTTCAAGCGCCACTGAGGAGTCTTGTTAAGACAAAAGGCGAGTCTGGTGTACTAAATTATAAGCCTGTGATCTTGATTATTGTTTTATTAAATGTGTGTATAAGATACTACAGACAAGAAAAGTTTGTTTCATCTAGATCTTTATCTAGATATTGATACAGATGGAAGAGTCTATGAAAAATGCAATCATTTATTTATTTTCTTAATTAAACGACTTTCTATTTTTTTTAGCAGTATCATATCGTACACTTCAATATATGTTGTTTACGACTGAAGTCAACACAAGTCATAACGTCGCCTTACCTGTCATTGCCTGATCGAGTATCAACTTAAAAGGCGAAGAAGATACCAAAATGCAAATATAGTAAATGGGCATGCTCCGGAATATTTGTATGAAATTATTCAACCTCATGTGGAAAACGTATATACATATAACATAATGCAACAAACATCTGCGAATAATTTTTTGTAATACCGTATCTGATGAAAAGAGCTTTTTACCTAGTATTATACGCTTATAGAAGGCTTTACCCCACCTGCAAAATCGAGTACATCTGTTAATACATTTTAAAGGAAATTATATACAGACTAACAAAAGACACATGAATAGTTCAACATAGCCAATAGTCTGACAGATCACATTGCCCCCAATGCGGTGACCAATTTGAACATTCAAGTCACTTTTTTTTATTTAAGCCCAGTTTATGGTATTCATAACTAAAGAAATTGCTGTCAATTTTGATGTGAAAAATCTTCGTTATGGTAGTGCAAAAGATTTTGAGACAACATAAACAGTATTGCCATGTGTATATTACATCAGATGATCACTCTTATTGACAACCCATCTTATATATTAATTTATTATGTTTATTTGTATTTCTTTTTCACTTCATATGTAATTATTTATATGAAAATAAGGTAAAAACCTAGATTTTGTTTATCCAAGGTAATTGGACTATCAAACAGTATAAATCGCAATTGGTTAAATTTGTTCTTTGGTTGATACAATATAACAATATTAATGATATTCAGCAACTGATTTCGATACAAGTTATATATATATATCTCACACCTAATAATTGAAGTTCTGTCAGTTTTCGTCATAGTTATCGCCACAACACTTGTATTTATCCATCATTACTATATTATGACCTTTTTTTTAATATGGTTGTGTGAGATGGTATTGATATATAATTTGGGTTATTTCTCTTAGAATAGAAGTTGTCTTGGTACACATTTATTGTCATGTTGCTTAAAATGACGTATATAGGTTTTAGCTTTCAGTTATTTTCTGAATAGAATATGTTTAAGTTATACCAAGATACCTAGTTACACAACATATACCCCTTTCTGAGAATGCAGATTCCATTGAAATTTAAAAAAAATAGTAATACAAAAAGGCAAAATAAAATGACAATAAGATGATAAATCAAGCATAACATTTTCATTCTCGATAGCTTGTTCGCATTACTATTTCCATCCTCACAGAAACCTGTCTTGAAGCTGTCAGTCCTCTGTATAATGATCCAAGTGGTTTGTTATATTTTCTGTTGATTCCGCCAAACTTTCTCTGAACGTTTGAAACGGTTTTTGAGAACGCTCTCCTTGTCCAACGTTGGTTTCTGGTTTTAGAATGCTGTTGTAAGGATGGAGGTTACTGTCTTCGTCAGTGTCTGTCTCCTGTTTGTCTGGAGACTTTGATTCTTCTGTTTCAATAACGGGATTCATTGATTCATGTGTGAAAGTGTTTTTCATCAAATAGTTCTCCTCTATGCTAATAAATGTATTATTCCCAGACTTTGTTATTTGAATAGGAGTTGAATTTGTCTCATTTGCAGTCTCTTCTCTTCTTGCTCTCTTTTTCTGTAATCTACGACAGACAAAACACGTCCCAACGGCGAAGATCATGCTTGTTGCTACCAGTGAATATATCAGCAAATGTTCTTTTGAAAAACCTACCGAAGATCAAACATAGAAATGTGAAAAAGCTTTAATAAAATAATGAATACGATGTATATGAAGTATATTTTGATATCAATTTTTTGGTAGGTAAACAAAAACAGGAAGACGGGAAATCAATCAATTGCGACCCAAGCCGGAAATCCACAATCCAATATCGTAAGAATTATATCCAAATAGGTATGATCAATTTTACTATATATAATTCACTCTCAAAATAGATATTTGACAAATCCTAATGGAATTTGAACACTTTAAAGTTTTTAATAATATAATAAAATATTTAAAAGATGTTTAATCAACTTAACGTACATTCTTGAAATTAAATATTATTCACTACATAGATTTACTTTGATAAGAACTTTGGTTTCTGTATGGAACATTCTTTTTTGCATATTACAGGTATCCTGTTCTTGCTTAGGGTGATTCAAGTTAAATTTTGTGAATGTTGATTAAAAGATGCAAAATACAAGATGAGACAAAAAAAGTGTCCCAGTTCCAATCTTTCAACTGTTTTTGTGTATATTTAAAGAACTAAAATAAAAATATCTTAGACGTCAAATTTAAACATTTATTAAATTAAGTACACGATGTTCAAGCTAAAGAGATATCATGTAAACTGTTCCTGCATTTCATAAACTACAAACAAACTCATCACAGATACCAGGATAAAGTTTTTGATCTAATCAAAAAAAATTAAGAAGGCCAAATAAAGTACGAAGTTGAAGAGCTTTGAGGACTCAAAATCCCAAAAGCTTTTGTCAAATACAAGTAAGGTGATCTCTTCCTGGGGTAGAACATCCTTAGTATTTCGAAAAATTCAAAGTTTTGTAAACAGCTTATTTACAAATCAATGATAATTCATGTCATCACAGAAGTGGCGACTACTGAGCTGGTGATTCTCTGCGTTACAGGATGACACGAGGTTCTACAACAAAGTGTGAAATTAAACTTTTACAGCCCTCGTTTACTAAGATCCTTTTAAAACCACAAAACAAACCAAGAAATTTAAATGGACTTATTGATATGGTCAAACGTCTAAAAGATGAAAAATCGGTCTTATCCTCATGAATAAGAAAAGAATACTCACTGTTGGACAAAATCGACAAAAACAGACTACACTTTGGCATAAAGTTAAAGACGAATAAAAAAAAAAGCTGTCAACATAACAAAATAATACACAGAAAACTAAACATTGAGTAATACGAACCCCACCAAAATAAAGGTTAAACGAGTTGCTCATAATAAGCGGTTTCTGCTCCACTAGTGGCAGCTGTCGATTTGCCCATGACATAAAATATACCGTTCGGTAATAAGAAGGAAGCGGAAGATACCAATGTACCATTCACAAGTCAAAGACAAAATCGACAAAACCATGACAAAAAGAAAAATGATAAAATTTGAATAACAGTCGACAATACACGTCATAGAAAACTAAAGACTGAGCAACATGAACCAGCCAAAACCTAAGAGTGATCTCAGGTGCTCTGGAAAGGTAGGCATATCCTACTTCACATTTGGCACCCGTCGTGTTGCTTATGGTAAGTGCAAACTAGGTGATAAAAAAAGTCTAATTCGGTATAGTCACAATCAATGAAAAGATGATGGGGTCGTAGCTAATACAAAGGAATACTTATGTGAAAGAAGTCAAAGGTTTTAATACTTTTGCAAAAAGTTGATAGTGGTTTTAATACTATTGCAAAAAGTTAATAAGTTGCATTCGGTGATTTCACAATAGAGGAAATAAACTTATCATAGATACCAGGCTTAACATTGTGTACGCCAGACGGGCGCTTCGTCTCCAAAAGATCGTATATTAGGAACTTCAAAAACTCGGGTTGTAATGCAAGAGGTACGATTTGGCCCCTGAAAATGCAGAAATTATAAACTTATTCCAGACGTTTTGTCTTTTGGAAAATTGTGTAATGTAATATAATCTGGACACTTTGGTGCAAATATATCACATTTAATAGTTGTTAATATGGCGTCATAAAACTGTCGAAATTGACACATTTGCCCAAAAATTGTCATTTTACACATGTATAGATTTTTTTTAACAACATAGATATGAACAACAGCCTTACCAAGAAGATATTTTACACGGAAAATTGTAAGTATTTTCGAAAAATTTTCCCATAGCATACAAAATGGATTCATTTTACCTGTGGTTGTCTCCATAGAGCTTTCAATAGAAACGTCTGTAACATTTGCGATGTTTTCTGCAAACAAGATAACAATATTATCATTCATTCAAGGAAATAAATAAAAAAAATCTGCTGAAGTATAGAAGAAGTCAGGAAAGTTAACACAGTTACATGATAGATGAACAGTCCTCGGATAATTTTGCCGAAAATAAGACGTGTACATTTTTTTTTATTTATCAACTAAGATTTATAACACATGCATAACTCACATTGGCCAATACCGGACATACTGCAGATATGTGGTTAGTAACATTAAAGCCTGACGCGCCACAGCCATAGTAAAAGAGGGATAAACCCATGGAGATCTTTACATAAGGTATATATCATTGCTTATCTGATTCATTGTGGACATCCCTTATCATCCAACTGTCTAAGATTTTTTGTAGAATTACAGTAGCAAAATCGGAATTTAGACTGCTAACAAATAGAGATTTTTATCTTATTATGTTATATTCTGAGTAAAAAGATATTTCAATTTGAATGTTTTTCATATTTCCCTATCAAATGCAATTAAATTTAACGTGATTTACACTTCACAGCTGTCACCAAAAAATACTGAAAAATGAATAAATCAAGGAGTAAAACTTCAATGAGTCATTATTCGCTATTATAGTATGGCAAACAAATGAACAAATCAAATCTCAAACTCTCTCCATTTATCAATGTGGATAATTGCTCACATAAATGTTCGATATAGTTTTGATACTTAAAATCCACTTTTCTGTACGTCGTGTTCAATAACAAGAGCAGTAAATAGTGTGAAACATTGATTGATTGATTGTTGCTTGCTTGCTTAACGTCCAACGGCAAATATTCCAAGCCTTTCAGAACGAGAAAATAAGTACAATACATGTACGTAGTTTATGCGAGGAAAGTCAACCGGGATGAAGGACGGGAAAATTTGGACTGCCACTGGGAAATTGGGAATGTTAAACAAAATTTGTGTGAAAAATGGTATAAAAAAATAATGTTGATACTTATTAACAATATACTTTCATTATTTTTTTTACTTTTTGAAGTCTGTGGCTTTAAATTTAAAGATTAATATTTAAGCTACCAATGATTTGCTGTTTACTTATAAATATAATTGTTAATCTTAAGCTTCAACATTGCGCAAAAACAATCACCATCCCTATATTGATTAAAATACTGTGGAATACTTCTTACGAAGCGACGCAACTTTGAAAAAGTTCAAACAATCTTCTATCAACTTGAGTCATGAACATTATTTAACATGCTGATGAGTTACGATTGGTCGTTTATGATAGAATATTTAATGGTTATGTAAAAGTTAAAATTGTATATACGCATATATATATATATACCATTGCCAGCTGTTGTATTAAAAGCAGTTCCAACTCCTGGTACACAACCTTTAACATTATCACATCTAGAGAAATAAAATGGTAAATCAAGTCACTTGCGGCAACAGAGAACCAATACATATACATGTTTCATTTAAACAATTTACAAGTTTATATTACTTGCTGTTGATTTGGAAGACCATTTTTCATCATATATAATATTCTAATTAGATCAGGGGTTAAGCTGATACAAATGTGATCTGTGGTGTGACATTATGAAAACATCAATGTTATGCCACATTAAAGTTTAACCCCAAAATAATTTGTATTAAGAAATCATATGTGAGGTGCAATAGTACATCTTGGGAGTAAGATTCTGTGAAAGCTTCAAAAACATTCTGTTAGGGTTGATTCATATGAGTAGTGGATACAAAATGGGACTGAAGGACGCACGGACGGAAGGGCATACGAATGAACAGGCATGCCCATTACTTTATACCATCCGCTTCGGAGCGGGGATATAAAAGATACATGTAGAGGTAAGCATACGGTTTTGAGCAATAGGCGAGTGTTTATAAAATATGTCCAGCCCTAAAACACCGAACAAAACTTGCAGGATCCTGATTATTCGAAATAAACAAATGTATCTTACTCTTACATTTTCTGACTATGATGGTGATCAATGTCTTTCTTTAGACCTTGATATTAGAATTTCTATAATAACTATATCCATACAGAAAGGAGTGACAAACTTGACGACTATTACTTTCTATAGTTAATTTGCTTTCCCTTGAAGGTGGGGTTCCGTTGTCTTCTTATAGAATTTGCATCTCTCAGCTGGTATACAAATTTTCAATACTCATATAGCTGTTGTAACAGCGTTTAGGTGGTGAAAATAACTATATTCATATATATATATGTACATGTTTGGAGACAGGTTTCAGATTTCAATGAATGCCAACGAAAACAAGTCTCCACCAGAGACCTAATTACGAGAAGGTTAGCAACTATAGGTCACCGTACAGTCTTTAACAATGAGCAAACTCATACCGCAAAGCAAACTATAAAGGGCCCCGAGTATGTATCTCTAATCTGGAGTTTTATTTAGGAAGTATATACAGTAATTTAATCATAAAAAGGTATGTCATCAATAACTTTTTACAATAAAACATAAGAGGACAAGTTCAGAAAGTGTCCTTCAAATCTTTCGTTTTGGCTAAATAGACAGTCACTTTTTTTAAATAGGTTAAAACCATATTGTTATGGTATAGTCCCGATTTCGTTCTTAATCTCTTAAAACAGGAAACGTTTTTTTTCATATAGAATATATATTCTGGTATTGTGGAAATTGAAATCCAACCTCCAACAGTAGATTTGAACTCCATTGTACTTTTTTCTGTAATGAGGCGACCTAGGGATTTTTTTTTTTTTTTTGTAGCGGAGTACCAATTGGAAGATTTTGATGATAAGTTTTTAATCCCGGATTTTTCGGCAATGAAATTTATATAAAATATGCCAAAACTAGTATCTGTACGTACATTATAGATCGTGCTTTGATCTCTGGTAGATAGTGGTCTCCACTATCTACCAGAGATCAAAGCACGATCTATAATGTACGTACAGATACTAGTAGGGCACAGTACCGCTTTCAACAATTAGTAAGGCTAATGTCATATAGTGAACTATCAAAGGCTCCTACAAGACGAAATGCATATTATTTTTTATTTCGTTTTACTTAGTTGATTTCGTATGCACCAAGATTTCATTGGATGAACACAAATTACATTGGATGAACATATTTAAACGGCAAAAAAACCCACGAAAATGACGATTTCAACGCAAACATATTCTCCATTTCTGTCTTCGTTTTTCAACATAAAATATTCAAAATTTCCTGAAACTTGTAATGATTTGCACGTCATTTTATTTGGCGGATGGAGGATTATGTAAAAACAATATTCCGCTCTTCCTTTGGGTGAAATGAATCAGCTCTCCTAAGATTGTTTTACCAATACTTGTTCCTTTTGGTTCACATTGAGGGAGATAAATTACCAAATACCAACAAACAAAAAGAAACATATAATAGAAGAAATAGACAGGAAAAAAAACAAAGTATTAAAAATTTTACTAGCCAAGATTGAATAAGTCTTGCGGCAAAGAGAACATTGCTTAATTTTAAGAAAAAGGAGAAACTGATAATACACAAACAGTAAAAGTAAATTAAGAAAATAAGACATCGAAGTTTATAAATGAAGACATTCAATGTGATATTTTGGAATCACGCTCGTCATAAGAGTACAGAGGTAGTGTCAATTTTCCGGCCCTGAATTTGTGTCATTCATAGTTTCAAAATCAGTTTTAAAAGTTTCAAAACATTCAGTATTTTGAAACTGAAAGACGCTAAATGATATACAAACATATTTTAAATCATGTTACATACATTCAAGACATTAAACTGTTATTTTGTGTTAAACATTGCTGATGGGAACAATTTTGACACAGTTTTAATTCCTTTTTTAAATTCTATGGAAATTTGGATATCAGCAATGTTTGCATTTATTGATGCCAACCCCGGCTTGGAAAAAAACGAAAAAAGATAATGAAGTAACTTCGAATATCTCTGCAAAATGAATACTTATTAAAGAATGTAAATTATATGGTTACATCGGCGTTTTGCATTTGCGCCGATTTTTTATTTCAATTGCGCCGATTTTTTCTTTCTTTTGCGCCGATTGTGTACAGGTAGATTACAGGTGAATGTTATTTCTTATTTCTTATTTATCATTATAAATCTCTTCTGTTGACAGTTATAACATGTATATAGCTGTTATCCCCTGCTCACCACGGGGAGGTGAAATAAGGATTTCAAGCAATAGAAGTCAATTTATGCGAATGAAACGATACAGGACTGTTATTCGTCCTCTTACAATTTTCAAGGGGTGTAGCTGCCCAGAAATAAGGTGAATAACGTGAATTTAAGCATTTATAAATACTTTAATAATACGTAGTCTAAGAATGCATGACATCTGTCACCAGAAGGAGCTTCAGACCTAATGTCAAACGTGAAGCAGTCCTCGATTTCATCTGGGGGAAGGAATGATAGCCCAAAAATTGAGATAGTCATTTACCAGTGTCACTTGATTTGTCTTTATACTCTGTTTAAAAATGTATACTTAAACCAACAGACTGGATTTTCCTCCACCAGTGTATGTGCCAGATGAAAACGACAACAATCTATTTGCAGGGGACAACAGTTATATACATGTTATAATTGACAATTTATAACATATGTACAACTGGCTAACGGAAGAGGTTTTTATATTGATAACTAAAAAATAACATTCACCTGTAATTAACCTGTGCTTAATCGGCGCAAATGAAAGATTGAAACTTTTTAAAATCGGCGCAAATGTCATACCCCGGTTGCATTGGGCGGGATTTTCACATAAGTCAAAAGCTTGCATGTTTGAAACGTTCTTTGGAACAACGTTAACATTCTTGTTTTATTCAGAACGCCGTGTAACGCTCAGTGGTATCAATACCGTGCGTAATGTCTTTACCTTCGTCAACTTTGAAAATTTACAATTATACCAATTCAAATCGGACAGTGCGCTATTCATTGGGGATGTATATATACGCAGTTTCTGTTGGAATTACATAACCATCGTAAATTGTGAAATGTTAGAATTATACCGGTTCAAATCGCACATTACTATGCATTTTGGATGCATGTCGAATTATACAAGCGTGGTTCGGTTTTTAATTTATATTACGTTAGAGATTGTTTTAGTGAAATAAAAATAGATTAATATGATTCATTTACATCATCGTGATCACACTGATGAAGGATTATCCGAAATATTTATTGATACTTATATTTACTGTTTCCTTTTAACAATATTGCAATTGTTTTGTACACTTTTAAGGCCTAAATATTGACATTACCGTAGGTCATGGTCATTTTCAAATAGGAAAATGATCAAAATATAAAAAAAAATGTAAGTACATGTATTGTATTGTCCAAACTACCCAGGCGGAAAATGTTTGCTATATTGTTCACTTTTGTATTTGAATACTACTATGCATGGAAAGACAGAAATGGGTCATGTCAAAATGGAGTGACCCGATTTTGTAAATGTTGTTTAAAACATGACCTAACTTGTGAAAATGTTATTTGAATTTTAGCAGCAAGCACCCATTAACAATATCTTATAAATACGTTTATAATTTAGAAATAATCGGTTATTTTTAAGTACTTACCTTTGCCAACTGACACATTCGCAACGATTTAGGCATCGCTTACCAAATCTGTCTTCATTACAGGGCATGCACGATTGACCTTCAATTGACGCATAACCAATTTTACATTCTGCAAAAATACTTGACCATTAAGCACATACAAAAGGATACACATGCAATGAAAAGCAAATAAATAAAACAAAAACAAACCAACTCCTCAATCTAGAATAAATAAAAAGAAAAGAAAACAAGGTCCCCCCTAATATAATATATAAGCAAAATAATCCAAAATGAAATAACTAATATATCTATAATAACATTAAGCAACCAAGAATCAATCAATATAATAACATTTACGGTACCAATTTTACTGCACCAGATGCACATTTCGACAGTATATAAAACTTTGTCGCTATAATAAATACAGATCTGTAATCTGGATTGTATTTAAAATTGAATTGACTGCTACTATAGAACTTATAATACTATTTTGTGATAAAGTATTTTTTTAAATCAGACAGTTGGTTTTCTCTTTTGGGTTGTTTCTCAATTTGTCATCCCGGGACCTCTTATAGATTTTTGAATGATATTGGTTTTTCCGATTGTCGAAGGGCGTCCTACGCCCTGTTACTGTTCACAACCTTGTCCAATTGTCTTTGGTGGATAGGTGTCTCATTGTAAATTATACCACACACCCTCCCTTCAATTTATATCAAATACAACTAGATATCATTGAGATGGGAGCCATCTCTGTGGGCCCCGCTGTGAATAATGTGTGGTAAAAAATTTGTATCTTTATCATTGGAAATGGGGTTGTCAACTGAAACCAAAGTTTTTTTACCTTGACCTTTGACCTAGGAAGTTGTACATAAATTATGACACACCCTCTGGTGTTGGTTTATATACATTTCAAGTATAAACTTTGAAATCATAATGGTTCTCAAGATATAGAGCGGACACGGTCTTTACCATAGGACATGGGGTTGTCAACTAAAACCAAAGTTTTTGACCTTGACCTTTGACCTAGGAAGTTGTACATACATTATGACACACCCTCTGGTGTTGGTTAATATACATGTCAAGTATAAACTTTGAAATCATAACGGTTCTCTAGATATAGAGCGGACACAATTTGTTACGGACGGACGGACGGACGAACAGACGGACGGACAGACGGACGGACAGACTGATCACTATATGGCGTCCGCCATTCGGCGGGGCCCTCATAATCAAGATTTTAAATAAAACATTACTGCTGATTTGTAATTTTATTTTCCCTAATTCAATTTTATCAGAGCGTTTGAATAAAGTCAAATTGGCAATTTTACTGTCGAAAATACCAGGAAAACTCTAGTTTTAGATTCACTATAATGGAGATTTTTCCAAAATTTCCTGTTTTTGACGATGACTTTTTTTTTGCCATATAGCTCGTAAATTTAGATACCCTCCAAGTCGAATTATTGGTCTTTTGAATAAAGTAATTGATAAAGGTTATTAAGTTAACAGTATAGATTTAATGTCTTTGTTGTTACTTGCATGTACTTTTTTCATACTTTAATTCATAACTAAACAAATATTGATGTACTTTTAGTTAGTCGATCCCGGTAATCTCGTACAGTAAAAACCAAACAGATTAATTCTCGTTTTATTTTATGGAATATTCATTAAGTTGGTTTTAGTATTTTCTACTGTCATTGGTGTTATTTTGATCTTATGTATTACATTTTACGGTAAAAAAGCATAAAAATATATATACAGGCGTAATTTTTCCGAAAGTTCTATATAAATATATATATCCCCAATGTTTTTAATATATAGAAAAAAAAGAAGATGTCGTATGATTGCCAATGTGACAACTCTCCACCATAGATCAAATGACGTAGACGTTAATAACTATATATATGTTGCGTACAAGATGTAAGTTTGTACAAATTATAATTGTTATAAGTTTTTTGACACCAGGTGAAAAAAGTTTATTTTTAAAAATGTATGAGTTTAATGTCTTAAATTCAAATTTATATACTTCAACATAACATTTAGTGCTATTCTCCCTGTCATCAAATTGGAAATAAGGACACCTGAATGGTTTAAATTCTAATATTATTTTTCTCAACAATGAGCAAACCCATACCGCAAAGTAAGCTATGAAAGGCCCGAAATGACAAATATAAAACAATTCTAACGAGAAAACATATGGCCGGATTTATTTACAAAACAATAAAAGAAAAACAAATATAATATACAGCAACAAACGACAAAAAGGCTCCATGTAATTATTGTCCAGATACTAGTTAAGAAGATTTTGCAAAGTGGTTTACCCAGGGAAAGGGAGAGAAATTTGAACAGACACAAGGGGAATTTTTGGTAGTGACAGACATTTTGCCTTACAATAGGACACCTACCGACCCCTCATATGCTCTTTCACGGGTAAAGAGCGTGACACTCTTAAGCACAATACTACTGATTTATCGTTCCAATTCTGAAACGCTGTGACGGCGTATTTATATATCCTACACGACAAAAAGGACACCCACACGACATTGGTAAAGATCAGATTAGCTTGACTGTGCTTTAAATCAGTCATTCTCACCAAAAAAAAATGCATCGTACATTGTATTACCACAGAAATGAAGCTGCTAAAATCAATAACGAACACAATATGTTTTACTAAGAATTTTGTATATATTTCGATTATGCCAAAGCAAATAGTCTCCTCTTCACCAATGTAAAACAAATTATTCCACAAAATGATGCCAATAAGCAGTTAAAGATGGTTATACAGTATTTTGTAATTAATGATTGAAGATTGAATGCGACAGTAGCCTTGTCAGTTCTGTTTAGATTTTCTTCAGTTAGTTAGCGATTTTTCTTAAAAAAAAACAAATTTAGTCTGCTTTTTTTCTTGTTTTATCTCCAAGAATTGTATGTTGAATTTTATCAATTTCACTAACTTTTCAGCCACGATTTCTTTGAGACATTTTTCTCAAAAAGGCCTTCAACCCTTAATGCTACCTTCGCCCCGCGATGGTGCATTTTGTTTAAAAATCATAAAACACGCTACACTTATTGTCCTAGAAGAGCTTTTGCTATGCGAAAAAATGAAGATATGAAGATTAGGTACACGAAAGCTATATCCATACGTTTGGACTCCATTTCGGGAAGTTATGAAATCGACTCAATCAGGGGCATTTTTTTATATTAAAAGAGCATAAGAACTTAAACTGACCGCCACCCGCTGATTGATGCTCCGCCACTAAGAACTCTATACATTACTTTTGGGACGATTACACTATCAATAATGATATAGTCCTAGATTACTTGAAAGTTATTAGATAGAAGTCAATAGATCAAAGCTCTTACTAATGAATTTATATAATGATTTTCTTAAACTAATCAGCATATTTTTCCAAAATTTCATTGCATACCGACTAAAAACACAAAAATGTTCCACAGAAGCAATTTTACAATAATGTTCCGGGTATAATAAAAAAAGGGGGAGAGGACGCTGCCCGGAAAACACTATTACTGATATGCAATGATATACTAAAGGAAAGTTTTAACAACGAATTTGAACTAGACAACTTTATCTGATATTCACACCTGCAGGTGACCAAACACATGTTGAAATTTGCGGATATCTTTAGAAAACATGCTAGTCGAAACAGCAGGGGTCACAGACGGTGTCTTCCTCGAATGCCAACATTTTATGAATGGATGTCACTTTTAATAACATGCATATATATAAACATAGGGGGGAATTGTTGTTTTAACAATTAAAGTCTGTTTCTTAATTTAGGCATATTATTGACCTGAAATTTACCTGTAAAATCTTATGAAGAATACATATTTATTATTGAAAATTGATTCAATATTGAGATTTGACAAAGGAAAAATATTATAACAAAAACTATAAAAAGTTAAATCACAAAAATACTGAACTCCGAGGAAAATTCAAAACGGAAAGTCCCTCATCAAATGGCAAAATCAAAAGCACAAACACATCAAACGAATAGACAACAACTGTCATATTCCTGACTTGGTACAGGCATTTTCTTATGTAGAAAATGGTGGATTGAACCTGGTTTTATAGCGCTAAACCTCTCACTTGTATGACAGTCGCATCAAGTTCCATTATATTGACAACGATGCGTGAATAAAACAAACAGACATAATAGGTAAAAATGTCAAAATAGGAGTACAGCAGTCAACACCGTGTCACAATCTTAATCACAACAAAAAGAAACAAATATTTAACAAAGAAGCACAAAATAGCATATATCACATTTAACAACCCCGTTCATTGCTTACTTATTTTTGTATTTTATTTATGTATGCCAAATCAACCCATAAAGGATCGAGGGATTTTAAGCACTGGGACCGAATCGTAATTTTAACATTAACTCTGGCGTAGAATCGCGTGTTTGACGTCATAATGTAGACGTCACACAGGTAAAGATATAAAATAATTTTGTCGTTCAAAGTATGCAAATATTATAATAGAACAATAACACAATGGCTGGATGTTTAAAGTACAGAGACACGTCATATGTATCAAAGAAACATAAAAAGTCACACGGACAAAGCACACAAATAAAAATGAAAAATATTACAAACAACACAATGACGGGATGCATAAATACAGAGCCACGTCAAATGTATATCACCAAAAACAGACCAAACAGTAAAAGTAATATTAATAAAGACAAATAAAAGAACACTTTAACATTTTTGTAATTAAAAAAAAAAGATAAAAGTTATTAAAATATTAATAATTAAGGAATGACTGTAATATTTTTTCGGTCTATGAAGAAATAACATCAAAAATGTGGTGCACACTGAATAACCCGCGTAGCGTGTTATTTTAAAGTGTGCACCACAATTTTTATGTTATTTCGAATAGATAGAAAAAATATTACAGTCATTTCTTATAATTTAATTATAAATTCCATTTTAAACCATGAAAAAACGTTGATGACGTCACAGTCATATGACAAAATTATGTCTATGAGCTGATAAACACAACAACGTCAGCCAATCAGAAGACGCGTTACATCCAAAATTAAATTATTGAGATTTAAAAAGGAAAAAAATATAATAATAAAAACTAAAAATATAATTAAACAAGAGGCT